GGTCTCCTCATAGAGTGTTGAACATTGAATATTATTTCTTCATTGTTCAATCTAATTTTTTAGCTCTCCAGTCTTACAGTTAATCAATGCTCTCCTAGTAGCCAAGAATGGCCTTCCTAAAATTATGGATATTTTTCATCAACCTAGCAGTCAAGAATAACAAAATCAGCAGGAAATACAAACTTACCTATCTGAACGAGTACATCATCCAGAATTCATGTTAGCCTTTTCACTGTGCGGTCACCTAGTAACAACAATATTGAGGTTGGTCTAACTCTACCAATTCCTAACTTTGTGTAGATTTCCAAAGGCAGTTAGTTAATACTTGCCCCCAAGTAACACAATCCTTTAGCAAAAGTATAATTCCAATTATGCATGGGATTGTGAAACTACCGGATCAAACAATTTTTGAGCCATAGGCCTTGTCACTATGGCACAACAAGTTTGAATCAGAGTCACAGTAGGCATGCCTTGGAAGTCAAACTTTCGAGACATCAAATCCTTCATCATTTTAGCGTAGCCTAGAATTTCCCTCAAAACATCTATCAGAGGAATATTCAATTGTATCTGCCTTAGAATTTCCATGGATTTTATGTCTTGATTCATCTTTCTTTTGCTTTGCAAACCTTTGAGGGAATGGTGCCGGAGGTCGCTTTTTTCCACTGATCTATGTCCTTTCCTGATAAGAAATCTTTTCTAGTACCTTCTCCGGGAACTGTTAAGTTTCTTTCTCGTTACCCTTGTCAACTTGTTCTTGTTCAATTACAACCTCTGTGAGCTCTGCCGATTCATCGACCTCGAGTGGCATTGGAATAGGTGGCGTTGTTTCTTTATTAGATTGAGCAAATTCTTGCTCTCTGTCCAAATCCCTTCCATTCCTCAGACTCACTACCATTAACTAATTCAGGTTCTATTCTTTTAGATTGATGTTTGTATCAACGGGCAACGTTCTTTATAGGAGATTGTTCAAATCCATGGACTACTGGCCTAACTGAGTCCAATGCCTTTAATAACTGAGTCATGTGCGACTAACTTTTCTTGCTTCTTTCCATTAGTCTGTATGAGTTGTTGCATCATGACCTTGATTTCTATCATATTATTGTCGTCCTGTATGGTCATCTTTTATTGATGAGGTTTTTGGTAAGACAACTTTTGTTGGTGTTGTTGATTGTAACCCGGTTTCCTTTGATTGATTCAACTTGGCCATGTGGTCGTGCTCCCTTAGGATTGATATTGTATTGTTGCTGGGCTGGGATGTACTACTGATTCTGATGTCCCCATTGTTGTCCACCTTGTCTCTGACCCCCAAAATTATTAATGTAATTCATGTCTTCTCTGAAGCCCCAGTTATCACTTTCTTCACCCCATGAGCAACACATACGGCTGACTGATACAAGGAGTTGCATAGGCCTCTATTTTTTGTGTCAATAATGTGAACCTCTTTCGTCCCCGTCTCGTCAATTTTCTTTGTCAACAAACACATCTGTCATTAGAGTGGCTATGTTTTCTGCATTTGTATTATTTGGGTTAAGAGCAACAGAATACACTATTGGAGTGAGTGTTGTATCCCCCATCATCCAGCCTGAATTTTGAGCCATGTTGTCAAGAAGAAGATTACACTCTGTGAATGATTTGCTCAAGAATGCACCCTCTACTGAAGCATCTACATTAGCCTTTAGACTGTCAGCCAATCCCATATAGAATTTCTATTCTAGCATCTGATCCAGGATGCCACGTGAGGAAACTTCACAAACATACCCTTGAACCTTTCCCAGGTTTCTTTTAACGTTTCAGTTGGTTTCTGCCTGAACTGCAATATCTCACCAATTTGCTTTGCAGTCTTATTGGGTGGATAAAACTTGATTAAGAATTTCTTGACTAGTTCCTCCTAAGTAGCAATGGAATTTTTTGGCAGTGATTTAGCCAAGTTTGAGCCTCCCCCGTCATTGAGAATGGAAACAGTAACAATCTGAATGCTTCGGGTGTCACATTCGGATATCTTTGGGTGACACAAATCGATAGGAAATTCTTCAGATGTTGTTGTGGGTCTTCGATGTAAGACTCGGAGAACAACCTCTTGTTCTGCAGCAAATGTAGCATGTTGTTTGTAATTTGAAAAGTTTTCGCATGTATCTGAGGGACAGCAATTCCATTGCCAGATTGTCAGGGGTTGGTTGCGCCCAATGATATAGATCAACCTCCATCACAAGGGGTGCTACCACTCTGATGTTTGGGTCAACTTGATTATTTCTATTGTTCCCGTTGTTGTTCTCGATGTCAATCATTTCTATTCTGATTTGTTCGTTTTGTTTTTATTGTTGTTTACCCTTCTTGTTAGCCGATTAAAAGTCCTAGATGCTTTCTCGGGATCTGAGAGACCTTCAAATAGTTCAAAAGTTCTCAAGGAGCTTTTAGGCATGCACCTTAGGCATAAAAGAATTCAAAGTGATAATTTTAATGAAAATATTTTTAGCACCATGGAAAATTGATCTAAACTAAAAATACTAGCAATTCTTTTAAGTTGTAATGAATAACACCGTTAGTTCTCCGGCAATGGTGCAAAAATTTAATCACGCCCAACTATGCCCAATAAAAAGGACTAAGCGGTTGCTTCAAAAATAATCTGGTTCAGGAGTCCGGAGTCGAATCCTACAGAGAACTAACCTATTTGCTACAACTTTTCAATATCACTAATGATAAGCTCAGTCAACTTTCAGAGTTCAAGACTTGATTTATGATTAACAAAAATTACTTGAGTAAGAAAAAATGGCAATAAAAATTATCAACTAGCAAGAATAAGATTGAATCAAAGATAAAAAGATCTAGGGTTTATGATTTTCTCAATTATCGGATTAATTCCTAACACATTAGCTATAATTTACTAAAAGTATTCTCTCGAACTACTCTAGCTGACAGTTCGTACAACTCATAATGATCACGCTAAAGCTTCATTATCTCTAATCCCACTTTTAAATCCAAGTAATTAATCTCTTAACATACTCGAAAGTGGCGCTGTTCAACAATAATCAAATCAAGTGTTCTCTCTCAAGTAACACAAGATAACTAGACACGATTAACTAATAGCCTTCCAATAAACCACAAGAATCATATAATTTAACAATTAGAGAGTAAAATGGCTCAATTATACCAATAAGTAGTTAAGAATTCATCAAACAATTGGTTCAATCAAACCTTAGATGACAGGTTTAGCTACTCATAATATTATACAAGATTACAATATAAAAAGTCATAACGAACAGTAGAAATATGAAGAAAAAAGTAAAAAACTCATAGAAGAATTCTCCGCCTTGCTCTTGTGTGCTCTTGCCTCCCAAAATATTGTGTGACCCTTCAAAAACAGCTTCAAGTTATATTTAAACCGAATACGGTTGATGTGGGGTGTCCCTGATCTCTCCTATTTCGAAAAGAAAAGGTTGAGTCGCGTCCTGGAGGTAGGTGCAACTCGCGACCCCTAGGCATGCTCCCAACGTTTTTTTCTTCTTTGTTTCTTTCGCGTGCTGGGGGACAGTGCCAAAGTGCCATACACTGGTTTTGATTCAATTCCTATGTCATTTCGCACATATCTTTCATGCAATGCACCAATTGTGGCACGCTCCCAGCTCTTGCATATCTACTCCCTTTTGCATCAAATAATCCAATTAATTCTTGCCAACTTCCATCCAAATTTATTCCTACACACGATAAACACGTAATAAACATATTTCATGTTTGTAAGCATGTGATCTCCCACAACTCACATACAAAATAATATGAAACTATACTCAAATTTCTGCATTTTTAGTCATTTATGAAAAGTCATTAACAATGGTGTACTCTTCGAATTCAAACTTTATAATAACGAAACCTCTTTGGTCAAGAGAACAAGGAGTAGCGCATTTTGTAAACATTTATTATTGACACTAGACTACAAGTCTTTTCTAAATTACTGACTTCTATGAATAGTTGTAGTAGGAATTAGAGGCGGATTCAAGATTTGAAGGTCGAGGGTGTACTTTTAGATTCAACCAAAATTCGGTCTGTATATAAGGTGCTCAGTACTAATATATCACTATCTTCTAAAGATATATATATATATATATATATATATATATATATATATATATATATATATATATATATATATATATATATATATATATATATATATATGAAATTTTTGCGAACTTTACGGGCGCCGATTATCCCTCTCTGTGTATCATAGGTCCGCCTCTGATAGATACACGTATAAATATATACTACGGAAATGGACAAATTTTCAAAATTATTGATTGACTCTAGACTACAAGTCATTTCTAAATTAATTACTAACTTCTAAGATAACTTATAAATAGTTGTCGTAGAACTATAATTATTAGTTGTAGTTAAACTATATCTATACGGATACACGGATAAGTATATACCGTAGAAATGGACAATTGACAAATGTCAAGATTTGTTTTAAGTAAGATATGTGGTGCCATAGTGTTAAAGTACGTGGTTTTTCGTACGCGGTGCTTGTGATTTGAATCCCTATCAATCACACATACACCTTTTCACTTTAACTTTATTAATAAACCTCGATTTCATGTACACTTAGAGTCGCCATTTGGAAAAACTAGATAAAGGTTTCACAACCACAAATATGTGGATATTGTTCATTTTTAGTCCAAATCAAGAGAGTTATTTGCGATTTACGGGATACATTTAAGACCAACGAGCATCAGCCAAATCCCTTCCTGAAAAGAAACCAAAAAATAGAAGACGAGTGTGTGTGTATATATATATATGTTTATTTATTTATATTGATGACCTATTTTAAGTCGCCTGTGTTATCTTTAGCAAATTATCCTTCTGTTATTTGATAATTCGATCATTTCTGTAGTTAAACTCACATATTTTAACGGGTAATTGGCACAAGAGTAAAGCGCTTTTTATTTTCTCCAAAGGAAAGAGTATAGACATCAGTCTTTTTTCTTTGTCATATTATTAAGACAAAAATATTGCATTAAAAGGTATGGTATTATTCAAACTGCACAATGAACAACATGTACATGACATAATTAAACCCCACCAAGATATAGAAGTAAAACCCTTACATCAAAGGGAAGACTCACATACACACACACAAGGATTATTAGGTGCTCAGTATTAGAGGATAGAGCAAGCACACGAAGCTCATAACTAATATTTTAGAAGAAAACAAATTAAAGAGAGGTAAATATATATTATGAGAAAATTAGAAGAAATGATGTTTCTTCTTTCCCTCAGCTTCCTCTTCTTCTTCCTTGGCTTCCTTCTTTTCATGGTGCTCATGAAATGCAAATCCACCAGACCCAACTGCAGCAGCTGCTGCTATTTCTTCTTCTATCTTATGTTTGTGTGCATGTTCTGGATCTTTCTCTGCCTTGTGCTTCTCATGCTGAAATTTTCATACCAAAATATGGAGGAAATAAAAAGGAATAGTTAACAACTCTATTGATCTTTCTAGAGGACTGATTGGTAGTGTAAATTCTTTTTACAATATCTAGAGTAAAAATCAAAATTTTCTTGAAATTGACCCATAATATTTGACTATGAGTCTATTATAATCTGTTCAATATGATACTCTTTTCTTTTTAGCCAGTCCTAACAAGAATAATACATTTCTATATTTAGTAACAATTCAACTTTAAATTTCTCCTTTTATCCTTAGTGAGATGATTTCTAGCCAAACAAATTTTTATGGATTATTTTAGACCATAAATTTTAAAGTTTTTTTTTTATTTCTTAAACTCGTGCCCAGTCAAACATTTTCACATGAAGTAAGACTGAATTGTTATTCTTGGCTACTAATATAATTTTTTATGAAAATTTGACTTTCTAGTGAATTGTATTTTCTAGACAACTAACAAATTGTTCAATGACTTTTATGAGACGAACAAATAATTTTGTGACTTAGCTGATACAATAGGTAAAGTTTAATGACTTTAAAGAAATAAAATAATTTTGTAACTTTACTAATACGACAATATAGAAGTTAAACCTGTAACATAAAACCATTGTATGAAAAATTACCAAGGCAAAGGCACCAGCAGTAGCAGCCCCAAGCCCTCCCACGTGTTCAAGATGCTTGTGGTGCTTTTTCTCTTTCTCATAATCCTCACCTGTTTTGCCTTCATCAGTAGTCTCTTCAAAATTAGTGGTCTCAGATGAGTAGACAGCTCCTTTTCCACAGGTATCTCCTTCACCATAATTAGTTTTCTCTCCATAGGTAGTTTCAGATGGAATATCTCCATAGCCAGTCTTGTTATAGCCACTATCTCCATCGCTAGTCTTGTCTCCATAGCCAGTCTTGTTTTCATAGCCACTTTCTCCATAACTAGTCTTATTTACATAGCCACTATCTCCATAGCTAGTCTTATTTTCATAGCCACTATCTCCATAGCTAGTCTTATTTTCATAGCCACTCTCGCCATAGTTACCTCCCTCACCATAACTAGTTTTCTCTCCATATCCACTTTCTCCATAGCCAGTTTTCTCACCATATTTGTTATCCCCATAGTTATCTTCCCCACCATAACTAGTTTTCTCTTCATATGTATTCTCTCCATAGGTAGTTTTTTCAGTATCACCACCATGTGGAGTTTCTCCATAGGTAGTTTTGTCTTCCTCCTTGTCCTTGTGGTGGAAGAGACCGAAGTGGTGCTTCTTCTCTTCAGCCATTTTGGTAATAAAAGTGATGGTAGATGAGTTTTGAGAATGTAGTAGTACAAGATACTAGGGTGCTGCTGGGATGTTTTCTCTTGTTAATATTGAGTGGTATTTATAGGTGTAGGTAATAACTAGCTAGCCTATGAGTTTGGAACTTGAGTTAGTTGATGTGGGGACTAATTTGTTTGTCCAGTGTGTACGAGTTCTAATCCAATGTTCACACCTCTTTGCATGAAGGAAGTTTGTTACGTAGATTTTTCAATCCAAGTGGCGAGAAGCAACCAATGCTTAATTGTTATACGGATATGATAGATGACTCGCATGCATATTCATTTATTGAGTTGTTTAGTGATATCAAAATTTTTTTTCCATTAACCGCTTTAACTAACTATGATATATATATATATATATATATATATATATATATATATATATATATATATATATATTTGCT